CCAATTCAACACCTATCAATTTTTAAACTATCATCGCCTTAGGAAAATGAAAAAAAAAAAATGTGCTCTAGGTCCTCTTCATAAAGTCCACAAATATTGCAAATAGAGTAAAGATTCTCCAGTTTGTTCTTAAGCAGATCAGAGGTGCTGAGAAACTTGAACCGACAATACCATAGAAAGTTTTTTTTTTCTTAGGTTTAATCTTAAGACTCCATGTCATTTTCCACATCTTATAAAGACAAGAAAAAGTGATACTAGATTCAGCCATTCAGGTGGACAAAAGGTACCTTTTTCCAGCAGCAAATTGGCTTTGTAGGAAGATTGAGTAGTAAACAGGCCAGCCTTAGTTAACCTCCATTTCTACTCGTCCTTCTAGTTTCTTCTTGCTAAGGGAGTAGCCAGAATGAGATCAACTTCATGAGGATAGAAAGGTTGTTTGATCAGATCAATATCCCACTATTTACTTGTATATATTTGAAGGTTGACATTAGATCAATAAACTCTAGTAAAGTTGGAACCTACATTGGATACTGGAGCTGTCCGAAAATGAAAAAAGAAGTTTTGTTATCTTAATCATTTTTTTTATTTTATTCCCTTAACTTTATTTATTTGAACTTATTAATTTGTTTATTATCCCAAGGGAAATCAAGAAGATATCCACAAGATATTTTTCCTATGGGGCACCTCTACGTGAATTAAAGAAAGAGGCCAACTTACCATGCAAAGGGATAAAAGCGTGTAGAAGAACTTACCATACTTAAGGTTCTTTGCGAGTGGAAAAAGAAATCATGAGGAGCAGATCTTAAGATCGAGGACGCAACAATTTATGGAATTGAAGATTGCAAGAAAACTTAATATGCATGAAGATATGAGATACACTCACACGAAGAAGAAATACAAACTTCAGATTAGAGATTGTTTTATTATTACATTGAGAGTGAAGTGCTTTGGAAAAAAATCATTAGAGTTTATTTTTATTTTTATAAGTGTGGGATCGAGAGCCTGTTCTCGATCTCATTGAGCCTAATAACTTATTCATTTGATCTGTTAGGTTAGGTGTTCGGGATGAACACTTAGAACAACTTGAGGGATTTGAGTTGTAAAATCCACAAGGGATTTGTGGTCAAAAAAGTATTGTGTGTGAGTGATTACAATGTAAGTAGTGAAGATGGAGCCTTCATTGTAAATAAGGAAATTAGATATATCTTTGGTAGTTATTTTACGTAGTTAATTTTGGTAACTAGATATTTGATTTGATATGGTTCTTTGTCTTGTAATATCTATATATTGGTTGTAATCTCTCTTCTACGATAAGGAAATGCACAATACCTTTTTACTCTAGGACTTCTCTCTCAACTTTAGCATAATGATTGACTTTTTAAAATAATACTAGTATAGAGCCCGTGCGATGCACGGGTGCACAATTTTAAGGTTATTTATACAGCCTTATAATTATATAAATGAATAAAAAAATATACGTGATATATATAGTACGGGACCGGTGCGAGACACGGGAGTCGGGATATATTTATTTAGGGAATATTATATTATAGATGCAATATTCAATAAAAATTTTATATTACACAGGAAAATTATACAATATAATAGTATCTGACAAAAAAAAATCATATATTATTAAAGATCTCCTTGTACATAGATATTAGATAATTTATTAGTAAAATAGTGTATAAGTTGATTACAATAACAAAACAACATGCTCACGGAATTAGTAAAAATATTCCATGGATTGAAGATTTAATGGGATTAAACATTTAAATTAATTAACTTAGATAATTTAAAAGCCTTCCAACATTGTTTTGACTTTAATATATTACAGCATGTGTATACTTTAAATATATTAATATTTAAGGAAATTTAAACAGCATAATTTTTTTAAAAAATTATTTTAGGATACTTTAAACAGCATATTTACGTCACTCATAAAACAGATTATATTTCAACATCATAGTTATAGTATTATTTAAAGAACTTGAAACAGCATTGTTAAATATTTACGTCCACCCATAAATTTTTTACAAGTCGAAGGTAATTAATCCTTTTTTTTTTATTTGTTTGTTTGTTCAATTTTTTTGACAAAACTGATATCATGGATAAAAAAATTAATATTAAATAAATTAATTAATTAAATAAAATAATATGCTTTATACATATATAGGATGTAGATAATCCTCTCATACCAAACAACACGATTTCAAAATTGACTCAGATCCAGCAATCCTATCCAATATTTCATATAAATAAATATTAAATAAAATGCTTTAAACAGAAATTAGATAAGGAATTTTGAATCTGGCTTTTTTTTTTAGTATAAATAGGCTTTACGTACATTTTTTGACTTCACCGATTATGGGATTTGTTTTGACTAAATCGATGTTATTATGGAATAAGACAAATAAATAAAGTCTTTTTTATTTTAGTAAAGATTTTACGTACTTTTTTTTGACTTATCGGATGTTATGGGATTTTTTTTTTCTTAAGCCGATTTTTATTTTAGTAAAATTTTTAAAGAATATCTAATATAATTTTATTATCTAACTATCAATAAAATCATTTAATGATGAGATCATTATCTTTTAAATGATAAATAATATTATTTTTTTAAAAAAAATATTAGTTTTATATAATTAAATAAATGTTAAAAAATATTACTCGACAAATATTAATTATAATGGATATCAGTAAAATCATTGCATAAATTATTTAAGGAAAAAATCTTTAAGAACATACCTGGATAATAAATGTAAATATGCAAGCATTTAATACATATAGTAAAAAAATTTCCAAATAAGGTATGCATTAAATGTGTGTTGACTTTTCTTGCTACTATTTTTGGTAAATAGGTTGGCTTTTAATATATATATATATATATATATAGATAAATGAGATAAGATACGGTAATTTTATATCACATTAAATATATATTCAAAAATCAATCATTTATTTTTACCAAAAAATAAAAAATAAAAAATCAATCATTTATACCATTTACATATTATTTGTCATTCATGCGAAATAATAAGATCTTGTGGTTATTTGCTTTGAAGTCAATATGAGCATGCTTGTTTACAAATAAATCGGCTCAAAATGAGTTTTTTTGGTTAATCATAATTAATTTTAAAAAGCAATTGGTATGACTATTTATTAGTATGACTTTGAATTTATATTAAAATAATATTTAAAACAAAATAATTAAAGAGATTTGATGTAAAAGTATGAGAGAGATAATTTGAAGTGATAGTTAGTTAAAATTAGGTAACTGAAGGAGTAATGAATTAAAGTTGATGTGATATAGAATACTGATTGATTTGTACGATTTAATTATATGAATAGCATTAAAAATAGTGAAACTGAATTGAAGTGGAGTAGAATTTTAAAAATAGATCTAAGTTTTGAATAAAATATTTTTTAAAAAAAAACTAGCATGTCATAACTTTTCACATTTACATGTCATTTACATCATCCCATTTATTGGAAATGTTACCCCCGTGACGGAACAATTCCGTCGGGATTTGTAACCATTAGATCATCATATAACAGTCGGGGATAGTTGATCTAACGGTTTCAAACTCAGACGGAATGATTCCGTAACAAAACAGTAAATCTCCCCCATTTATATGATATTACCCGTTAGGGGTGAGCGTGGGTCGGTACGGTTCGGAGATTGATAAATCTTCGGAACCGTACCAAAGTTCGGAGATCCCGAAGTTCGATCTCCGGAACCGTACCAAAAAGTCGGTTCGGTCTGGTTCGGAGATTTCTTATTTTTTTAGATTTTTTTTTAATGACTACCTAGTTATATTTTAATTTTTATATGCTTTAAAAAACAACATTCATCAATAAGTCATCATATTGAAGATTTTATTTTGAAATCAATTTTAGAAGTAACTCTAAATTTTAGTTATTTAATTTTTATATGCTTTAATACAACCAACATTCATCAATACTTCCTCATATTAAAAATTTTATTTTGAAATCAACTTTAGAAGTAACTCTAAATTTTAGTTAAGACTAAATTTGTGCAACTTATATTAAAAAATTAAAATTCAAACAAAATATAATATTTTTTCTAAAAAAATATTCTTTAACCTTTCATATTATTTTAAATAATTATTTTATAATAGAAAAAATTCAATTATAGATCAAGTATTACTAAACATGAAAGTTAAGTGAAGGTTAATAGTTATTATTACTATATTATAAAGGATCAAAGGTGACTTAAAATATATTAATAACACATCTAATGTTATAATTCGGTTCTTAATTCTGGTTCTTCGGTTCGGTTCGGTTCTCGGTACGGATATTTGTGAAATCTCCAGAACCGTACCAATTATTTTTTCTGTTCGGTTTGGTTCGGAGAAAGTCAAACAGTGAACGGTTATTTTTCGGTTCGAAGTGATTTCTGTTCTGTTTTCGAAACGGTTCGAAATTCTCTGAGTCTCATGCTCAGCCATATTACCCGTTATATTTATATTTTGCTTTAGCCTTCTTCATAGTTCCCACTTCCCACACACCTAAAATTCAACGTGCTTAATTTATTTTTTGACAAATATCAATAGGAGGACCAACAATACGAGAGGCCACAATTGTGAAGTACAGTCGGCAAGAGTTGCGAGTTTCCAAAAACAACCCTAAAATCTTATCCAAACGAACCATTAAGAACATTATTAAACCCCACAAAACACTAAATATGAACTGGAGATTCTAAGATTTCATCGGGATTTGTAACCATTAGATCAACTATTTACGAATTTTACGTGATGGTTTAATTGTTACAAATTTCGACCATTTCGTCGGGGTTTGTAACCATTAGATCAACTATTCACGAATTTTATGTGATGATTTAACGGTTACAAATCTCGACGGAATAGTTCCGTAACATGACTATAGTATTTCCCAATATGAGCAATTAAAAACTGCGTCCGTGCGCCACAAACGCTTAACTACTGACATTCCCAGATCTCTCTTTCTTCTTCTTCCCCATGGCTCTGTCTCTCTATTTTCCATTACTTCTCCAACTCATTTTCCTCGTCCGTCCCTCCTTCTCTCAGAACCCCATTTTACCAAAAGCTGCAATCTTTCCTCTCACAAAGGACTTCCCAGCCCACCATTACGTTTCCAAGCTTTTCATGGGCTCAAATCTCGACCCAGTCGAGCTTGTTCTCGATCTCAACGGCCCGTTTACCTGGGCCGACTGTGGATCCATCTCCGCCTCTGGATCCAGACAGCCCGTCAACGCCTGCTCCCTCAAGTGCTCCATGGCCGCGGGGCCCACCAAGGGCTGCTTCACTCCAGGGTACAAGTACAACTCCAGTAGTTGTACCTTGCCGGCCGAGAACGCGGCCTCGGGAGCCTCTGCTTCCGGCGAGGTGAATGAAGATGAGATAGCTATGGAGTTTTGGGCCGGGCCGGGCCTCTCGAGCTCCCTGGCCGGAAACGAGAGATTTTTGTTTTCTTGTGCACCGAGCTCGCTGCTAGAAGGGCTGGCCGATGGAGCTAAGGGCGTGTTTGGGTTGGGAAACTCAAGAATTTCGCTCCCCTCCCAATTTTCCACCTCCTTTGGGTTTCTCGACCGGAAATTCTCTCTGTGTATTCCGGCGTCTTCGAACGGGGCGATTTTCCTCGGCGGGGGCCCACACGACGGCGATTTCTCGAGCCCAATGATCTACACGCCTCTGGTTTTCAAGAAAAACGGCTTGCGAGACGCGAGTTATTACATACATTTGAGCTCCATCAAGGTTTCTGGTAAGAAACTGCCTTTGCAAGAAAAGGGTCTCATCGGGACGAAGTTGAGCACGGTTGTAGCCTATACCACTTTGGAGAGAACAATTTATGCTGCGTTTGTTGATGCCTATGTCAAGGCTGCTCAAGAAGTGAACTTGACTTTAGTTTCAAGTATTGCCCCATTTGAGGTGTGTTTTAGCTCAGATGGGGTTGGGAACAGAAATTCCGGGCCGAATGTGCCGGTTATCGACCTTGTTTTGCAGAGTGAGATGGTTAAGTGGAGGATTCTTGGCAAGAACTCGATGGTTCTTGTGAATGATGATATCATGTGTTTGGGGTTCTTGGATGGTGGGATCAATCCTAAAGACTTGATTGTGATAGGTGGTTATCAGATGGAGGATCATTTGTTGGAATTTCATTTAGGAAATTCAAAGCTTGGGATTTCACCATTGGCTATGGATGGAAAGAGTTGCTCTGATTTCGGGCCTTCGGGCTTTGTGGGCTAGGAAGCTTTTCTCTGATTCATTACGGATAATAATTCATCAGGAAGAAAGATTTTGGTTGTGATTGAGGCTTTTTGTGTATAGTTGGTGGGTTAGTTTGTGTGTAAAATTCTCATCCACTATGTTTATTAGCGTGTAACATGAGCTTTGGGGTAACATGCTTGGCCTGTTTTGATGTGTGTGTTATGTGTAGATAGGATGAGAATCATTTGAGCACAATTGATGAATTTTTAGCCTCAAAGGCCTAGACATATTTCCTTTGCATATGTTTAAATTATCCCGTGCACGAACAATGATTTTCGATAACTCTTCCTATAATGTGAAACTTGGAGAGCCAGAATATCTTTGAGACAAATTATTTTCAAACCCAGTCTATATGAAAACTAATTTAGAACCTGATATAACACGAAGAGCTCGACCCTTACTTTGAGCTCCTATGGAGCAGTTTGTGGTATGTTTAGATCAATTGAACCCGGTGCAATTACCCAGGTAAGTTGTAAGACCTAATGCAGTATTTGTAGTCAGAGCGACCAAAACTACAAGATCGAGCTAAGAGAAGTAATTCATCTGTGGAGGTAAGTTGGGTCTAACACAATATCACGAGCTAGTGAGGCCAATAGTGTTGATAGGATAGAGATGGGAAAATATCAAAACTATCCCCATAGTTTTCCGGTTTTCCACTTTTAGTCCTATTGGAATGGAGGTTCCCAAAACACGTCTCTAAATTTTTTAAATCTATATCTATCTATATTTATATCTATATCTATATATATCTATCTATCTATCTATCTATCTATCTATACTATTATAAAAGAGCCAATGAATCTGTAAAAATATGAGATGCCTAAAATACTCTTACTTTATCATTTTAGTAGTGGCAAAACTGTAATTTAAAAAGAAGATCCCAATACTCAGATTAAGCCAATGAATCTGTAAAAATATGAGATGCCTAAAATACCCTTACTTTATTATTTTAGTAGTGGCAAAACTGTAATTTAAAAAGAAGATCCCAATACTCAGATTAACCAGCACATGTGATACGTACCTATCGGCCATGATGCGTACTCGGAGAAAATCGTGAGTAACACAAAATTATGAATGAAGAAAGAAGAAATAAAAGACCCTTGAATACGAACTGACGCATATTGGCCAATTCAAAATCATGGATGCTAAAATTCTCCTGGGGTGCTCGAAATGCAAAGCTCTTAGATTTGTGAGGATTAAATGATTTAACACCATTACTGTCGCTATTAGGTGAAATTAAAAATTCACCAATTATAAAATATGTCAACTTTTAATTAGGATCTTTTTTCTTAACTACAAAATATCATATTTGATGCAAGTTTATATCATGATGAATTATATAAAAATATAGTGATATACTTTTAAGGAGGTAACATAAGATATAAATTAATTTTTTATATAAAATAATAATACATAAATTTCTTATATTCTATGAAATATTATCTTTAATGCACAAATTATTTTTTATTTATCAATTCTTTTGATTTTTTTTTTTTTTTTTTTTTTT